TTAACTAAACTTACCTTCTACGTAACTAATAACCCTACCCCCCCCTCCCTCTTCTTCATTTCTTCACTCAACTCTCATTTCTCAATCTCAATTTCTCTCATTCTCTCATTCTCCAATTTTCAAGACTTCATGTCTTCAATTCATCTTCTAATTTTATTTGGCTCTCTTTTCTTGAATTTAATTTATCGTGTTTTATCCTTCGGATTTTGAAGTTTGAACAATTGAACAATTGAACTTCAAAATTGAAATAGTTGCTTGATGTTTGTTCGTGGTAACATCAGAATTGCGTAATCAAGTGCTCAATTTATTGTCGAATTCGGTGCACTCCCTCCAACTCTTTCTCTTATTTACTATTTTAATTGCATATTTAATTTTAGCTTATACTTCAATTTTTACAATATGTTGAATTCTGCTAAAAGAGCGTGTAGAAAAGTTACAGGTAGGGGAAATAAAAAAAAAAGTAGCCCTTCAGCATCTGGTAGTAATAGTAATAACCCATTAACATTTACACATGTTTCCGAAACATTGCCTAATGATAATATAGATTATGAACAATTACAAGAAGATTTTGGAATAGAAGATAATGAATTAGGAATGGAAAATGAGATACCAGCTACACCTACTAGTGCTGGAGCTGGTAGTGTTGGAGTTACTACAATGGGTGGTGGTCGTGGTACTAGTAGTAGACCACCTGTGGCTCCGACTACTAATCGTAGAACAAGAAGTGAGGTTTGGAATTTTTTTGAAATAATAGAAGGTACTGATAGAGTTAAATGCAAACTTTGTAAAGGTGATTTTAAACATTTGACTGGAGGAAATTTAGGGGGGACTGGGACGCTTAGTAGACATATGAGAACTGAGCATCCCATAGAATGGGGCGCTGATGGTGCTAGAAATCAAACAACTCTTAACCCTACTACTGGAGGTCTAGTGAAATATGATAAAATGAAGGATCGTGAGGAGTTAGCAAAAATGATTGCTTTGGGTTGTCTACCTTATTCTTTTGCTTCTTCATCATATCTTATTATGTATATTCAAAGGATTTACAATCCCTTATTTAAAGGAATCCCTAGAAGTACTTGTAGAGCTGATATCTTTAGACTTCATGGAGAATATCAAACATACATACGTTATTTGTTTAGCCACCTTCCTTGTAGAGTTTCTCTAACTTCTGATATTGGCCATGCTGTTAAATGATTATTTGACAATTACATGTCATTGGATAGATGATACTACTTGTATGCAAAAACGTATTATCGTATTTAGATATTATGAATATCAGAGTCATACTGCTGCGTTTATAAGTAGTACTATTTGTGAAGTTGTTGAATTTTATAATCTCAAGCAAAAAGTTTTGTGTATGTCTTTTGATAATGTTTCTAACAATAATGCCGCAATTTCAATATTAAAACTGCATTTGAAACCACCTCTTGATGAAATTTTTCATGTTAGGTGTGCATGTCATGTTTATAATTAATTGTTAAAAGTGGCCTAGATTTATTTTCAACTGAGATTACTCATGTTAGAAGAGCAGATGGTGTTATTCAAGGAAATAATAGACAATCTAGAATAAAGGAATTTAAGAATAAGTGTGTCCAGTATAACCTTAAATTCAGATTTATGCCAAACGAAATTGTTACTAGATGGAATTATACATATATATTTTTAAAATGTTGCTACAAATATAGATTCCCAATAATTGAAGTTGCTAATGCGCATTTTAATGATCCAAACCGTATGTTAACAACTAGTACTTGGGAGGTCATTAATGATGTTGTTGAATTTTTACATAAATTTTATACAGCTAGTGTTGAGTTTTCTGTATCATATCACCCTACTGTTACTATGGCTTTAGTACATATAGCTGAAATTTCTTTTCTACTCTTTGAATTTAAGAAGAAAGAACAATATAAGGATGTTGTTGAAAAAATACAAGCAAAATTCAAAAAATATTTCTTTCCAATTCCTCCGATTTACTTTATTGGTGCTGTTTTAAATCCTTCTATTAAGATGTCTGATTGTCACCAATTAATGAATGCTTGATATACTTATATGGAGATTGGACCAACTGAAATCCCAGATTTATATGTTTCTATGAACAAGCTAAATGATTATTTACAACAATTATATAATTATTATGCAAATGTAATTGATGATGCTGCTCGTGTTGTAGGCAATGTTAATCCCACTATGCAATGTACCACTTCTACTACTGTGGAAGATGAAGAAGGCCTTGATAGTTTTAATATTTTTTCTACATTTTCTAACACTCAAACCAATAGCAGGAACATTGATGAACTTCAATTCTACTTGCAGAAGCAAAAAGAGCCTCGCACAAAGAAATATTTTCACCGTTGGGATGGTGGCATGAGAATGGAAAGCAATTTCCTGTTCTTTTCACTATGGCTCGGGACGTGCTGAATGTGCCAATTTCTACTGTTGCATCGGAGAGTGCATTTAGCCAAGCAAGACAACAACTTGGAGACACCCGTCATTCATTGGGAAGCAATGCTTTGGAAGTTTTAGTATGTTCAAGAGATTGGATTAGATCGGAACGAAGAAATCAAGGACGTGAAGATGTTGATAGCCCAGAAGACGAGGAACTTGGAGATATATTAACACATGGTAACCCATCCGAATTTAACACTCCAGAAGAAGGTCACTCAGTTCATTGATTATAAAGAACTTACTAAGGCAATGCAAAACCTTTGAATTTACTCTTTTTTGGTTAATTTACTTGTTGTTAAATGTAAACCTTTCAATTTGTAAGTTTGAATTTTGAAATAAATGTAGCACTTGAAATTTTTAAGTGCAATTTTTTTCCATCTTCCTTGTATTCTTTATGTTAATACTTTGTATTAATATAACTTACAATAGTTATACAAAATACAAAAAAAAAAAATTTAAAAATATACTAAACCCGGCCCGGCCCGGCCCGGCCCCCTCAACCCGTAACCCTTACGGTTAAATTTTTACCCGGATGAACCCGAACCCGTTAAACCCGTTAAGCCCCAACCCGTAACCGGCCCGGACCGTAACCCGTACGGGTCCAAAAAGTAGCAACCCAGCCCGGCTCGGCCCACCCATTTAACACCTATATTCACACCC